AGCAGGGAACAAACAATGATGAAAAAAAATCCAACTAACTTTGAACTGAATTGAGCTGAATAATGAGCTGCTAAAATTGAATTTGTTTCATAACTGATGAATTTTACAGCATTAACGCTGTTATTACACTGTTTATTACAGTGAAGCTGCTTTGAAATTATGACTTGCATTGAGGATAAACACGGTCTGTTTCGACATGAATTCTGAATTATTGGCTTCTCAAGAGCATGAAACCATTGAAATATTATTGGATTTTGGGTTTGGCTGCCATCGGCTGCTGATGAACGCAGGATAGAGGAAGCTGTTATGTTTTCCCTCTCGGTTTCCCAGCTCTACTTCCTGTTTCCCACCTCTACTTCCTGTATGCTGCCTCTTCTTAGTGTAACGGGAGGATGATGAGCTGATGAGTGAGAGTGTGTTTTCATCTGATAATTCCTGCTTAAACTCGTAACCTTGTAATTTTCATCTTATCTCTCGCATTCAATCACATGTCAAGTAATTTCCTTTGCCTGGAGGAGTGACGGTATCTGAGCGCTGCAAAGGATGATGGGATATATACGGCTAAAGCAGGAGAGGGCATGTTTGTGCACGTATCAGTGATTAGATCAATTGTAATTAATGCTCCAACTTCCCATGTAAACATCTTCGGTTATTGCCTTAAACTTAGTTTTTAAAAAAAATTTAAAATATGTTTTGTTAATTGAAATGAAGCTAAAATAAAACTTTGGATGAAAAGCTTCTAAACAAAAATTAGAAATGTAGCCTTTGCAAATAACTGCAAAAATTGAAGCACTAAACTTAACTGAAATTAGACTAAAACTGAAATAAAATTAAATTAAATAGAAGTATTTTGAAGAAGTAAAACTAATAAAAATTACAAAAGCACATAACAGTATTAAACTAAAAATTAAAAACGAAATAAAATTTTTTAATTAAATTAAAATAAAAATGTAAAATATAAAAATAAAAGTTGAAGTTGAAGCCCTAAAATTAACAAACTAAACTAAAACTGAAATAAAAATAAATTAAACAGTAATATTTAAAAAAATAAATAATACAATGACAAAAGCACATATTATTACTAAAAATTAAATTAAAATTAAAATGCAAACTGAATATATAAAAATAAATAGGTTTAAGTTGAAGCACCAAAATTAACTGAAGCTAAACTAAAACTGAATTAAAAATAAATGAAAATTAAATAGTAATATTTTAGGAAAAAATTATAAAAATTACAAAAGCACATTACAATAGAACTGAAAATATAAAAATAAATAAGTTTAAGTTGAAGCACTAAAATTAACTGAAACTAAAACTGAAATAAAAATAAATTTAAATGTAATAGTAATATTTTGGGGGGGGGAAATAATAAAAATGACAAAAGCACATTACAATATTATTAAAAATTATGCTAAAATTAAAATTAATACTAAAAATATAAAATAAATAAGTTTAAGTTGAAGCTCTATAATGAACTGAAACTAAACTAAAAAAAAACTAATAAAATGACAAAAAAAGCACATAACTATATTATCAAAAATTATTCTAAAATTAACATGTAAACTGAAAATATTAAAAACAAACTATTATTTACAGTAAATAATACTAAAATAACACTGGGCGGAAGAATTTTTTGAACGTTGGCTTTTATTATATTGCTGTTTTGTCTGTTTCATTAAAAACAATAAGCGTCTGGTTTAACCTGAGTTCCTGCCTGAAGTCTCTGTTTCTCTGTAAGTCATACGAGAGACTGGTGATGCAAATGTGTCAGATGAAGCGCGAGCGCTGAGTGTCTGTTTATCATTCAGACTCGTCTGTGTCTGGCTTCGCTGGTCAACCTCTGGAATGCATCTTTTGTCTCGGCATGTTTTCACAGTGTATTGTGTGAGAAATCAGCCACGCACACACTGCACAGCTTTATGACGAACATCCGTGTGAATAACAGTGGTTGAAAGCTGTTTTTGACTGAAGTCATTTTAGTAACCAGAGACACATTATCAACTAGTAGAAGTTACTAAATAATCTAAGGAAAAAAAAAAAAAAAGTTACTTGGGGGAAAAAAATGTTAACTCAAATGAAATGTATTTATTTCAGCTAGTTACCAAATGTACCTATTTTTTGTTTAGTTTAACTTAAAGTACTAAAATAACTAGGGTTGGGTATCGTTTGGGTTTTTTATGATACTGGTGCCAAATCTATATTTAAAACGGTTCCGGTGCCTAAACGGTGCCTGAACCGATACTTAAAAAAAAAAAAAATTAATTACCCAAAATAGGATGGATTGGCCATTATTGAGTGCTGTAAACACATTTAATGTCTGTTTCATTCATACTGGACGCCAGAGGGC